AATTATTAGCAATATTGAAATTGTAACAAATATTAAATACAAAATTCAGTTCTATTTTCATTTCATATCTGGTTATACAAATATTAATACATCATGTACTTTAAATACAGAAATTTCTTTTATAATTCAAGCGTCACAAAATAGGCGGTCCTCGACTTTCGCACATTGTTGAAGATTTTACTCGATATTGCAATAATTCTCCCCTTCTATGCAGGCGGTCACAGACAAACTCATTATTGATAGTAGCGGACTTCTCGGAATCGTTGTGACGTCACTAAGGTTCCCGGCTGTGGTGGCCATATGTATACAATACATTAAAGAGGTTTAGTCATGCGTTAGGGCACGTGTCGACGAGTAGTGCGTTTTGCCAATTAATTTGTTTTATGTTTAAATATTTCGCCCTTATAAATTTATAAACATAGTGATAAACTGCATTGTTGATATGAATGATAAGAAATTATCAACATCATCAATGGAAACAAAGATGGAAATAATTAGACGTTCTGAAAGTGGTATTTCTTCTGCTTCAATCAGCCATTCATACGACATAAACAGGTAAAAGATACATTCAAATTTGGGAGAAAAAAAAAAAAAAAAAGAGAGAGAGAAAGAATGAAAGAATAAAATTAAGGAATACATTCAAAACTGTAGAAATATATCTTCAAAGATTGTTTCCAAAAGACCGGGTAAAGATCTTTGTCATCATGAATTGATGATCAACATCAAAACAAAGTTCCTATGAGTTTTTCAATTATTCAAGCTAAGACTCTTAGTTTACACAAAGACTAAAACACTAAATTAAAAGAAGATTCTAATACAATGTTTAAGCAAGTAATTTAAAATAAGGTATTTTTTTACATAATATTTAATTTACTGGAAACTCTGCTGGTGCAGTTAAATATGCTGCGAAAGAATTTATTTCCTCATTGTCCAAAATTATTGTAGATAGAGATACTGTATTACAAAATTATTGTAGATAGATAAGATTCTTAGACAAATATTCAATGTAAGCAAGATGGAGTAATTCTGGGGGGGGCAAAAACGCCTAATCGTATATTCTTATTGAAGAATCAGTTGCCTTTGGAACGATCTAAAGACTTCTACAAAACGATTGACATTGCTTTATGGTGGAAACAGCTGGTGACTTAAAACTGAAGCCAGTGTTGGTTTATTAAGCAGAAGATCCCACAGCGATGTACGGGAAAAATAAAAAGCTGATTCCAGTCATTTGGAAATCAAATAAAAATGCCTGGGATACTGCTTTAATATTTAAAGATTGGTTCACAACTTAAAACATTTTTAATCTTACATGCTTCAGAACACTCAAAATCTCTGCGGAATTCATACTCGGAAATCAATGTTGCGTTTCTTCTTCCCAATACTACTTGTCTCAAGCAGCCCATAGATCAAACAGTGATAAATTGAAATGATATTATATGAGAACAATAATGTATCAGGCCACAAAGACAACTGGCAGGGAAGGAAGACCTACATTAAGATATTTTTTGGAAGACTATAAACTATGAAATGCAATAAACAATATTGGAGACTCGCGGCTTGAAATAAAACAGACAACAATGAAAGGTTCCTGAAAACAGATTTTTATGCACACAAATTATGAGTGATTTTTTTTAATTATGAAGAAACTTCAAAAGCTATCACAGATGAAATATACTAATGAATGAAATATTATGCATTGATTAAATGTCACTCAGCACCTTTGTCAAATGAATACTTAATTCAGCAACAAGAGTTAAATACACAAAGTGAGAAAAAAATGTAATGGGTGGTATTCAACTAACTCTTGACTTAATAAGGAAAAAAAAAAAAAAAACCCCGAAAAGCACTTAAACATACCTCGTTAACTTAATTATGTATATTGGCAAATAAACATTTTAAAATACAATTTTTAAAGCTTTCTTTAACATTCCTCTTCTTCCGAAAATTCAACATTCAAGCATATTTTCAGGAACCAATTACATGCAAAAGTCGAGGACCGCCTATTTTATTTTTTAACAGAGAAACTATATTAACAGACTTTAACATGCAAGAGAAATAATTAATTTTAATATTGCACCCCTCTCATCTTTTTATCTAAAGCAAATAGTTCTCTTGTCTGTCTCAAGGACTTGCTGCAATTCTAGGGGTTAAAAAAAAAGACTGTCACTCTAAACACCACTTAGTCATAATATGTATATCAATGAAATCAAATGCATTTTAAATTATATAATTAAATAACAAAATTGAGACTATACGCAGACATGTCTGCTGCCGAAAGGAGATTTTTTACATTCGGTGTTAAAAGATTATATAGCTATGCCCAAGTTCAAAATAGTGGAATTTAAAAATTAGAGATAAATGGAAAAAGCCATTTGGTTAGGTTATTAAAAATTCCGCACATGATGACAGAACTGGTAAGAGTATGGCGTTTTAATATAAGAATATTAAAAAGTGAACGAGATAGTTAATTTTAAGGTGCATTACATAATATGAAATATATAGTCTAAAATACATTTTAATAAATTAAAAGCAGGCTATATATTAAAATCACAAACTTACATAATGTAACTGAAATATTCAAACAAATATAGATGCATTTAGCATCTTTTTTCTTGTTACATGAAAAAAGTAATTAATAACACACAAAAACTATAAAAATATATTATATGGCTGCCAATTACCAATTTAAGTCTATACGGAAGATACTGAAATCTCAAGAACGCTAACATGAATTAAAACTTTTAAACCTGCCTAACAGGGATGACACGTGATGAAGATGTTGAAGCTGGAGTGCTGCATTATGAATTACATCCATTTCAATAAAAATGCATAAAAGAAAATATCTTCACTAATAGATTTCAAATTTGAATGTGATCAAAATTTTCCTATGCTAAATAAATTTAATAAAATAATACAAAAATTATGCTGAATTTATTCTGCATTAGTTATATATTCAATATTAATGTTAGTATTTATTATACTAACAAGCTCAGTGTTTAAAAAAAAAAAAAAAAAAAAAAAAAAAATCAGAAACTGTGTCAATAAATTTCAAGAACTGAAGCAAACTGCTGTTCCTTAAAGTAATTAATAATATCATTGTACCCTCAGCTGAGTTAGTGATATAAAAATTATATGCATATAAAAGGGAAAATATATAATTATTGAAAACTTTTAGTCATTATTTTTTCTCTTTGAATATATCAAATTTGAAGAGTAGCTGCATTTTTAGTTTTTACACAAGTTTAAAAAAATGTTTTTAATAATGACAATATAAACTTTTTCTATACTTATATATTATGTGTTCAATAAGTACGTAATATCTTCTACTAATGCAATAATGGCATGTTACCAATATTTAAGTCAACTTATAATCAATTAAGTTTTTATATAATTACACTGCTACAGAGAAAGGTATTAATTAAATCCATGAAAACCTGGCTGTTATTGAGGTTTGAAGATAGTCATCTAATTAGTTTTAAACCATACTCAAGTTCTTATGTAGCAGGAAATATACTTCATAACACATTAAAATTACTAAAGTATTAACAAACCAAACATTACATAATCATCAGCAAAAGGAAATCTGTCATTTGCAAGAAAATAAAATATCTTGGACCAGAGCAGTACATGAAAATGTTCAGCAAAATATATCCCTATTAATTAACATTCATAATCTTTCCCTATGATTAAATATTTCCAAAGTAAGCTACAAATATTTTGTTCAAAATATTACAACTGTCAATACATACAAAAAATGCATACTGCACACACAGCATCTAAAAAATGCCATTAACAACTAATAGCTTCATATTTCTCTTTAAATAATTTTCAGAATTTTAACAGTCTACTAAAATGCCTTTAAACAACAATCTGTACATACTCTAATTTCCCCATTATCCATTTATGATCTATTAATATCAAAATAATTACTTACAAATTTATCAAAGATTATATGAATAGCAATCTACCAATATTTTACAGGCCGACTTCTAAACAGCTTACACAGAGAATACAAATTTTAATACCACTCAGTTTTCCTTCATGTATAAATAGCATGCTTCAGTCGCATACAAAACAGCCTCACCAGGAATGCTATAATATTAAACTTTTCATAATTAACTTATGGCTTCTAAGCATTGATATCTTTAACTATAGAAACAAATAATCCAATAGAAAATAAAAATTATAATATTACATATGTATTATACAAGTTTTTAAAGAGGTGCATCCATTTCTAAGGACATATTTATTTGGAGTGAGATTGTTCTGATAGCATGCCAAAGTCAAATAAATCAAAAGCAAGATCATTCAGTAATGTTTTATTATTATAAAAATATTTTTTAACAATTATAAGTCACAAAATTCAAGAAGCAATTATGGAATTATAAGTTAGATAGATACTCTCATTTTACAATATGCTTAGGAATAATTTGAGCCTCTCTAAAATCTGCAAGAACATAATAAATTACAAATTAGAGCTGAAAATTTCAGTCTGGTTAATTTTTCTTTGATTTCAATACACTCATCAACTTAAAAAATACAGAAATGTTCGAAAGCAGATTTAACCTTTCCGGCACGCTATCTTTCCGTTGGAGTTTGATTAAAAAAAAAAAAAAAAAAAAAAAAAAAAGGCAGTTTATTGGCTAGATGAGTACAAAGTAAAATTTTTTGAAGAAGATTATATTTACTTTGTGGGGTGCCTAACTGGCACATGATTGATAGAGCTTCGAAAAGAGGCTGACGAGCGTTGTGTCATGAAACTGACGATTAAGATGTGGAGAAACAAAAATACAGACTCCAGTTTCCTAGATATCGGTGAGCCTGGTTGAGCACACCTAGGGTCACCGTTGATTTAAGCAAGATTCAAGGTAAATTAAAACTAAATAGCCGGAGATTAGATACAGCCAAAAATAACATCGAAATTTTATTTATCCTAAAAAATGGAAGATCTTGAAAAATGGGGTCTTAAAAAAAAACTAAACATGCTAATATATGGATGGTTTGTGTGAGCTGCCCTCTACTTAATAAAGAAGGTTCACAGTAACCTATAAATCCTTTTTCATTCAATTTTTATGTGCATACAGAAGGAAATTTTTAGGTGCGTCCAGACTGGACACACTGTGCGGCAAAAGGTTAACATAACAAAATTATCCACAATTACCTTGCATATGATTGAATGAAAAAAAGAGCCCCAGAAACTCAAACAGCTGATGTTCCCGCACTCAAAAATCAATAACACAGTGCAGTGGTTCTCAAACTTTTCATAGGTAGAACTCCCAAGTCATGACTCGCATTTTGCCAGGGATGTTCAAAAGAATTTTATAACTATCTAACACAATTTGAGGACCTAATTAAGATAGTTTGAAGCCTTCAAGAAATAGCTCTTTCAGTAATTTCCAGTGCATTTTTTAACCCTCTTTTCTTTTTGGCAAGAGAAAAATCACAGTTATGAAGAGTTACAGGACGATTTTTAGGTCCCTGAAACATGTGGCCTTAGGTGGTAATCAAAACCCTGACATATGGAAATAACTTTTTATGTGTTCAAACAATGCATTAAGAATATTTGGAAGCTATTAAACAGTCCTATTGCTGCTGCTTTAACTGTATCATTTTCAAAGAATCATTATGATCTATCAATAAAATAAAACAAGAAATGTAATTTTATTTTATACACATTTTCTTCAGAAATTTCGTTGAATAAATATGGAACAGCAGTTTCTTCTAATAAAATTTTTTTAATTATAATAATATATATTATAATTTTAAAGTACAGGAATTTTAAATCCTCAAACATATTCTGTGCCAGCATGTGACTGAATGGTTTTACATAGCTTTCTGATATCTCATGATATAGTGAAACCTGTATGATGTAAATAGGAGCCAGTTTGTTTTAGAAAGCCCTCCATGAAGTCATTTCTCCCCGTAAACACATAACATAAACCTAGTGTTCCTTGCTTATAATCCAATCCATTTGAAACCTTCAGGAGGCAGTCCAAAATCTGGTAAAGCCAAAATCTGGTATTCATAATTCTTGTACTTTAGGTAGAACATAGATGACAAATCATTATTATAACAGTTTCCTCACAGGTATACTGTAAAGAAAGTCATCATAAACCAAACAGCATGGCCAGCACTCTGAGTAACTGTTTGCCAAGATATAATTTTTTTTTTCTTAACTTAAAAGATGAATAAATAACATACATTTTTTTTTTTCTCTCCTCCAACAGAGAATCTGCTAACATACTACCCTTAAAAAAGTTACCTGCATAGTTTGAGGGTACATGTGCCACAGTATGAGAACCACTGACATAAGTTACTATTGCAGATGACCCTGTTTAAAGTATCAGCAAGGCTCCTCATGTAATTATGTTACAATAATAACAAATACAATTGTTGTTATAAAATACAAATATACTTTATTATAAAAATTGTCAAAACAAAATCATTTTCTCTTGGCAAAGGCATCTTAATGTAATATCAGATATCAAATATCAGTTGTTCAAATTCACAATTTTTCTTTTTATTGCTGTAGATGGAGCTAAAGAGCTGACAGGCATGTAATGCATGATTACATACACTTTAAATGGTAAAAAGTTAAACAGTTTTATTTAAAGAATGTAATGCTTTTCAGATGTGGCTCTGAGAAGAAGAATCAGCATATTTAAAGAAAAAAGCATATCCAGAGAAATACCTTTCACAAAATGGTTTGTCATGGCCTGCTAATTTTGCTTAGAGGAAAGATTTATAGAATCTACTCTTACTGATGAAGAGTCATTGAATTTGAGTCAACAGGAAATATGCAGTTTTTATGCTGCATTAGATATTTTAAAGAAGTAAATGTTAAATAACATGAAACACACAACATACCATTTTTTTCATGATACCTTTTATAAGACAAATTCACAGAATTAATTCTTAAAGATTTTGAAGTATCACATTTAAACATTGCATTTTAAAATTGCATAAATATTTTTTTGAGTAGCCTTTATTTTTACCTAATTGTGCTTCTAAAAAGTTCTGTTACCAATTAATGCAATCAAAATTTTTTGACATTCAATTAGAAAAAGCAAGTTAATCCCCCCCTTTTTGGCAAATGTCATGAACAAAAAATCCTTCCTCTAAGCAATGTATTTTTGACATACAAAATAGTTGCCATTTTTAATGCATAATTTAAAAATGGTAACGACTTCATACATAAAAAACTTTAAAAAAGAAAACAATATAACGATAAACAAATGAAAACTCTTAGAAACATACAGAAGTAATTTGCTAACCAGTAGGAAAAAATTATTCACTTTGGGCTCTGAGAATGATTTTCAAGTCCTGTTTAATCCACCTAACTCTTCAGTAATTAATAACAATAATTTAAAAAAATTAATGTAATAAAATTCCATTTCACATTCGACCTTGGCAAGCACCACAACAAATGTTCCTTCATGTATTAGGTCACTAATTACAATAACTGTACACATTTCAATGAGATCACTTCCATGAACATAGCATAAATATTACATTTCTACACAAGAATTGTAAGTTATATATATATATGTATATTATTTACACATCCTGTTTTGGACTAAACAACAGCATTTGAAACATTATATCCGAGATAAATATTTTATCTGGGAATGCAGTTTCAGATTCCGATATGTCCAACCATCCATTTATTATTCAAAGAGAGTTTCACAAATTACAAATGCTCAAACTAATATAGCGAGCATGCATTCAATTGAAATAGTAAAACATTTAATTATATGTGGAGCCAGCCACTACAGAATGAAATCCAGAACAATCTTCCTGACTCAGTAAGCTATTTTAATGGCTGTGACCTAACAATAAATATACACTTGACAAAGCGAAACCATCACATACATCAGAATGCAGTGATTTAGGGCCTGAAAATGTCCAGGTTGGTCACTGACAGTGTTCCAAGTTCTCCACCAGGAACAACTTATTGCCAATACCGCGCCCCGGCGGCTGCTGGTTTCACTTGCAACGGATGAATCGGCTTGCAGTCCACAGCAGGCGCTGGACCAGAAGCAATGATAGCTGAAAGAAAATTCAACAATTACCATCCATTTCTGATGACAGATTGCATTTAAAAAAAATTTTTCTGTTAAAACTAACACAATGAAATAGAGAAATTCAAACAGAAATTGCTCTTAAATTATCCCAAATTGAAGATCAGAATAACATTTATTTATGCCAGTGTTCTAGTATTTCTCAATTTTTTAAATAAATCATAATTCTAGATGGAGGGTACCAAGAGGGATCAGACACTTCTTTTATGTAACTGGACTAATTTTAAGAAAAAAGAAATTTAAAAATTTAATCTTGACAATAAATTAACATTAAAATTTGATTCTCTCCCCCCCAACATGTTTTACTTGATAGCTAGAATTATATTGGCAGGGGATAGTGGTCTGAAAATGTTGAACTTGTCTTTCTTTGTTTTTATATCTACCCATCTCCTTTAAAATATGCTTACATACTATCACACTGTTTTTAGTATTTCTTGACTGCCTTTCATAGGACTCCAGCACTAATTTTAGAAATTAAGCTCTGAATGCTTTTTTTTTTTTTTTTTTTAATTTAACAAAAACTTGACTCAAATGAACAAATTATCCAAGTGTTTATACACGTGTTCCATTTTGTGCACTTAATACTACACTATATGAAATAACACTAATAAAACATTTATTAACCCTATAAGTAGCACAGCTTTTTGGATCTGCTCAATTAAGACCTGCATTTAAACAGCACGTATTAGCTAAATTTGTAAAATTACTTATTTAAGTCCGCTTTTATTAACTTCCATTCATTAAGATGACATTTATGTCACTAAAAAAACTAAATATCTTAAATTATATGCTAATATATATCAAAAGGCAAAAAAATTTTATGACTCGATAAAGCTGGTTATGCTACTTGGGTTTAACTTTAAAGAATAAGAACAATAATTCTAGCAATTGTAAAAAATCTCATATATATTCTGAAATATTTTGTAGCATACATAATTTGTTGCCATTCATTCAATGGAAACTTCGTTTTATTACAATGAAGTTATATAAACATACTTTTCTATAGTCATTCAGATTCATTCTCATGTTCCAAAACTTAAATTTTAAGGTTCATAATATAAAAAAAAATTCTCAAGGCCTTCATATTACACATAACCCAACACATAACTTTTTCTCACAGAATAAGTTTGAAACTTGATTTTATTATAATAAAAAATGGTGGGTAGGCAACTGATGCTATGATATAAGCTTGTCTTCTGCGATATGAATCGTACATCAGGTGAACAGACTTTTCTTGCACATGTTCAAGTTTTATATATTAATCAAGCAGTATTGTGGAAAAAGTAGATCATAAAAGCTTCTGCAACAGAACCATTCCCTTCAGTATCTTGGACACACAGTACCTACTTTTCTAAAGTTCCTTTCGTTAGATTACAAATTTTGAAAAACTGACTGAAAATGTGTCACTGTTATGTATACATAGAGTGACATTTTTTATATCATGAAAATTAAAAAAATAATTAACTTCAAATGAACTTACGAGACATACTGCCATATTTTTTTAAGTTGTAAATTCATTCATATTTGCAACAAAAGTTACATATCAAACATTGAACAGGTGAGATAAGAAAGCATTAGGAGCCAGTATTTTCAATTTTTACAAGAATAATAGGGGAAAAAAAATTCTATTGATAAGCTTTTTTTTTTTCTTTTTTCTTATTTTTTTTTCCTGTTCTTATATTTTCATATATAGTTTTTTTAATGCAGGTTTTTGGTGACAGACTCATAAACACATTTCTTCACACTTGGAATACTTACAGACTTAAATTATAAGAAAAACCGAAATTAAAAAAAATCATAGCCCGTTCTTTCTCCTCCTCCTACCAATTTCAATTATTTTCTCATGCTTAAATAAATAATAGAAGAATCTCAAAATGGCTTGAGTTACTCTTAAAATAGCATTTCATTAAGTCAACATGATGATCTCTGTTCTACATTTATAAATACTATTAGAACAGAGTAACTTTTTAAATTTGGCAGCATAAAAGTAAATGAAATTATATTAGGATCTACAAGGCTTGAATGTAAAACAGCAAAAACATGATAAAAATATTCACTCATAGAATTAGGATCTAATTAAGAAATTCTGAAAATCTATGCATAGCCTTCTTTCAAAGACCCATACTGACCAATTTTCTCGTTCTTAGGTGGGGAAAAGAGGGCTGTGAGAAAGGCTAAGTTTGCCATTAATTGTGCATTGTGCAGCCTAACCTCTGTAGGCTTATAATTAGGGCCTACACAAAAAATGATGTTTATGCACATCAGTATGTTCTTCGCAGTCTGGTACAGGCCTGAAAAGCAGCCCAAGCAAATAAAGGGAAAAGGAGCCTGAAAGTGATTTCTTCAAATATAATTTCTTATTCTGTGCAGTGTCACACAACTGCCCTATTACACATTTATACACATATTTATTGCACAAAACTTGAGCATATATGATAAATATTTAAACACTATCTGTCACCACCAACACTAGCAAATTACTAAGATTGGCTATTATATAGCAGAATAGCAGGCCCACATAATAATGTTCCATAAAATGTGTATACTTGTGCTAGCAGCAAGAGGTTGTAGGAATGTGTGATGTAGGATAATACACAAAATTTTATATTCCACTTGAAACTCTTCGGTTCTTGGCATAGCACCTTTTGGAAGAAAGGAGGTAGGCAGGAAGGCATTGGATGCTACTATTCACTAGACTGTCATTTCGGTAACAGTTTATACTAAAATCTTTTCTACATTCATCAAAGTAGTACAGAGAGCAGTTTTCACACAAAAGGAAATTCTCCATTACTTCCTTAATGACTACGCAGCTACCTCACATTAATTTTTTTTTTTTTAGAAATTTACAAATATGATTTGGGTAGTTATCTATTATGTCTATGTCCCCCTTTCCTTCGTGCTGCACATAACTAATAGACCCACGGCTACAAAATTTGGTACATAGGTGCATCTGGACAAGAACCAGTGCACTTTGAAGCAATTTTTCAAAATTTGAATGAGATTTTTTTAAATTCTGTTTTTTGATGAAATCAAATCAAATGGATAATTCTCTCTCATTATATCAGCACTGTTGCTACTTGGAAAAACGAGGGTGATAATTCTGTGCAGTTTTTAAATTTAATGTTTCCCATGGATACTGAACGTTTGTTGAGAGAAGGCAATGGGAAGTTGGTTAATTTATTATTTATTAGGATAATTAATATTTGTACAAAGGGATATTGCTTATTTCATAGTAATTTTTTATATGTAACACATTTTTATTGAATTTTTTTTTTCTTTTTGATAAAGTTGTTTTGCAGAGTAAAATTCTGTGCACTTTTTAAATTTAATGTTTGGTTTTTTCCTTTAGGCATTTTCACGGTACATTTAAAAGCCAGCTGAAGGCTGGCCACGTACCGGCTAGTTTAAAGTAAAGCAAAGCCTATGACAACTACATGCCATAGAAAATATGTTTCAGGGAAAACTTTGTAATGGAAAATAGAGCAGTTATAAGTACAAAAGGAAATTATACAAAGAAATATAATCTCAAATGCTTCTTCATAATTTTATATCCAAATTTTGAGCCTTTTAATCATCAGGATGTAAAAACATGATTATAATTTAATATGTTTTAATTTTCAAATTTCCTTAATCCTAATTTAAATTTAAAACTGATGTCTGCTATTTTTTTTTTTTTTTTTTTTTTTAAATATTGGTGAATTAAAACAAACTAATGACCATGTATGCTTTTCCTCTCTCAATAGGCCTCAACCGGATGGTACCCCCCCTCCAAAACAATCAGTGTGCCTCCCACAATTTCTATTTGTTCCAAATGAAATAGCTGACACATTGTTAAAAATATCAATGCTGTACTTTTTGGCATATTTCTCCAGCTATAGTTTAAAATCATCAATCTTGGCCTAACCCAGTGATCTCAAACTGGTGGCTCCTGAATATACTTCCTTAAATTAATTAGCATTCTTATAGCAGGAATGTTAAGAATGTTTAAGATTTTAATGATTCTGTGATGAATTTTACATTATTTTCATTACCATTAAAAACAAACATCAGTAACACCCCAGAAAGTCTACAATTTTCACAAATTAATTTACAATGGCTTATAACGTTTACTCAAAGATTTGAATAAGCTTTTTTTGTATGTGTTAAAAGATAAAAATACTTTCAGTTATGAATTTCGGTAATAAGGATGAAAATCTTGTTTGGGAATACATTTATATGTGAAATTCCCCCCCCCCAGTTGAAAATTAGCAAGTCTAGAAAAAATAACCATGTTGATCAATGAGTATCCTGATAATGACAGTTTCTAGTAACATTTTCCAGGATTTACAAACTTTATTGAAATCGAATTGCCAGGAGATGTGGTGGTTGAAAGCTGTAATATGAAATAAAAAAAGTTTGTAATTACATAAAATATGTGTTACTTTCTCTGTATGCATTGAAGACAAATTTATTAAATTAAAGAAACAGAATCAGTTGTCCTTATTTATTCTGAAATTTTTATAACTTGAAAGGTTTTCATATTTTTTTTTATTTTTAGTATAAGTTATTTAGCGGTTATTTCAACATATTAGAATTCTTTGAAATAATAAATGCCAGCCTGAAAATTTAATATTTAGAGCTCAGTTTGTGCGATTTACAAAGTGTACACAGAAAAGGTTGGGATTGGCAATAACACACAGAAAGTTATTGCCAATCCCAACCTTTAGAATTCACACAGAAAATTTAATGTAAATTGAATTTTTTCTTTGTGTCAGTATTCTTAATGTTTATATATGTTTTGACAAATATTAAGTAAATAAAATTTAATTTAAAAAAATTATTTTGTAAAGAAACCTGATGTGGACACCAAGACTTGAACAGCCTATTAAATTATGCACATTTTTTGCTGCATTTCATTTAAATTTATTTCCCTGAGATTTTATTAGAGAAATATTTCTCATTCAAACAATTCAGTTCTCACTTTGAAAA